GAATAAAACTAGGTATCATCAAATTAAGTATGGAAATTATACTTGTACTTTTCGGTTTTGGAACGTTTAAGACTACAATTCGGTTTTATGGAAAAATATAGGATTTTCCAGGTTAAACATCATTATTTTACAAGCAAACAATTTACAATTCAACCTTCTGGAAACAAATATGATTACTTATTGAAAACAATACTTTACAATAGAGCGGGTGGAACTAGGAACATATTTACAAAAGGTTCAACACTTATTTACAAACCAGTATAACATAAAGGACCCTTAATTGTTAATTCTATGGTTCCTTAGTGTCACACCCCCAAACTAGACGGCGGAAGCATCCAGGGATGGATGACTTCATTTGTAGTATCACAACACATGCATTATAGTAATCAAAGTACAAACAACCATTGCATTAATAAGTATAAGTTTTTATATGTGTTCAATCAATGTATATTGACACCAAAAATAGTTGTATCAAAAGGTAGTAGATATGACTCAAAATAGCTCCATCTTCTCAAAAGCAAGGGGAGTACCTGTCTACTGATTCCTTAAGAATACAAGTAATTTGAAAAGAGAGTATCAACATAAAGTTGAGTGAGTGCATAAGTACTTATATTTAATAGTATATTTTCTGTTCTTTGAATATGTAAACTGTTCCAAAAAATCCTATATTTTCTGTAATATATGAAAAGTAGTTTTAACCTCATAAAACCGTTTCATTAGTAAATCAATGTTTTGTATTTGTATTTCTTTGTAAAACCTATAAAAGTGAGTGTGCCTGGTTCCACCAGCTGTTATGGTATGATGTAATGTAAAGTAGTACTTTGAAAATATACTCATGTTTTACTTAATTATACACTAACCGTATTGTTAATATCTTTTAGGGAGTTATTATAACCATACTGAGACTAGATGGCCTAAAACAATGCTTTGAAGGCGTTAAAAGCTGTTGATAACAATTATCACTCGTAGGCGTGTATGCCTGGCTGTAGCTAGCAGTCTGAGTGTGGGGTTGTCAATCCCAATATAGATCTATACACAGTTTTTTAGATCCTCGACTGGAGATTCTAGTTATAATGCAGGACTTTAACTATGTTGTTTAAATGAATTAAACAACCTGAATCAAATGACTCATAAAAAGCATATAGACATTACGTGTATAATATAATTGAAAACCCAATCATTCTGAAATGATGTTTTATAGAATGCTCCTGAATTAGTACTCTTAAACATGTATTGGAAAGTTGTAAACCCTTGATTAGTTTTGAAACAAACCCTTATTCATGTAAAATGGTGTACTCTAGTATACTTGAATCGTGAATTAATGTTTTATGAATCATAAATTATACGTATTAAAATTTACATGTACTTTCTGAATTGGTACTAACTGTTTATGAATGCAACCCCTTGCTCAACATGTTACAAAGAGTATTTGAACTGAATGAAATAACTTTGATATTTATATACATATACATATATATATATATATATATATATATATATATATATATAAGTAAAATTTAAATGACATTCAGACAAATAACTGATACTATAATCTCACATCCAGACAAGAAAAAGGAACCAAAGTGAGTTATCAGTCCTAAGCCGTTTAAATCTATATATATATATATATATATATATATATATATATGATTTTCTGGGAAAAATATAAGTTATAAAGTCACTTGATGAGTTTATCATTTTGAAATACTTTTGATGACTTGATGTCATTTTAACATAATTTAAAATCATTTGATTTGATGACATTTGAAATTCATTTTGTTAATCTATTTTGAAACCATTTGCTTGTAACACAAATATCCTTATGTTACACTTGTATTTCCCCCTTAAACAGTAAAGACTATGAAAATATGGGGGTATGAACTCACCTTTTGGAGGGTGATTCTATTGATGATTTGATATAGGATGTTTAGTTCCACAAGTGTAATCCCGTAGCAAAACAAGTCCTATATAGTGATTTGTATAGCATATATGCGACCAATTAGCTAAAATAAACATAGGAATGATTAGAGACTGGACTAACTTGTAAGTATAACTTACAAATAGGAGTCTTAGAAGCTAAAATAGAAGTTGAATGGTGTTCACGGCCAGGAGAGGTGTTTACGCCCAAGACTCATGAAGGGTTCACGACCCTGAAAGTGTTCACGGCTAGGAGTTCTTGAAGGATGATGAACACTTGATGATCCTAAGAACGTTCCTAAGAAGATTCAAGGGTTTTTTTGATGGGTGTTCTTCATGTTCTTCACATGTTATTCGTGTAAACTAGTGAAATTATCGGGTTTATAAGAAGATTGAATGACGTTCTTGAAATGATAACAAGATCATGAAAAGATACCCTTTAGACTTGTGAAGAACTAGTGATTATCACTTGAAATGATAAGAAAGGATGATCCTACCATGTTCTTGAGGAGAGAGGGTGTTCTAGCTTGATGATACTTTAGAGAAAAGGTTGGAATTGTGTTTTGAAAGTGAAGAAATGAGCTAAAGTCGGCTGAAAAGTATATGTATACGAGGGTTCACGGTCTGAGGGTTCACAGCCGTGAACCTCGTATCCTGTCTGAAGTCGGCTATGGCCGGGAAGGTGTTCACGGTCCGAGGGTTCTCGGTTGTGATCACAATTGCAAGGCTGTTTGTCCGAAGGAAAGAGAAATGGTCTCGGGCTTCAAGTTTTTACCTCGTAAACATATAACACTTTGAATACAAGGTGTACACATTTAAAAAAACATTAATATAATCTAATTAAGATAGAATAAAATTTGAGTTGACTTTAGTTGACCCAAGTTAGACTTTGGTTGACTAGGGTTGACTTTACATATAGAAAATAATGGGATGTTACATTATCCCCCCGTTAGAGATAATTTCGTCCCGAAATTTGGATTAAAGAGATATAGAAAGACTAAGGAAAAAGATGTGGTTACTTCTGTTGCATTTGATCCTCCAGCTCCCAAGTGAATTCCGGTCCTTGTTTTGGATTCCAGTGAACCTTCACTATCGGGATACAGCTTTGCTTTGTTCTCCTGACTTCCCTGTCTTGGATTTCTACGGGTTCTTCCACGAAGTTGAGGCTCTCGTATACCTCGATCTCGTCGAGTGGGATAACAAGAGTTTCATCGGGCAAACATTTTTTCAAGTTAGAGACGTGGAAGGTAGGATGTATGTTACTTAGTTCTTGAGGTAGTAGGAGTTTGTAAGCTACTGGACCGATTCTAGCAAGAATCTTGAATGGTCCTATGTACCTTGGGTTCAACTTCCATGCTTTCCAAAGTGTATCATGCCCTTCAAGGGTGAGACCTTCAACAAGACGCGGTCACCAACCTTGAACTCCAAGGGTTTTCTCCTTTTGTCAGAGTAGCTTTTCTGTCTATCTTTGGAAGATTTAAGTCGCTCCCAAATTTGTACGATTTTCTCCGTAGTTTCACGAATGATTTCCGGACCAGTGAGAGTACTGTCAGGAACTTAACCTATGGCTAGTTGTGTGTCACCCACTTCAGCCCAGCACAGAGGTGATCTGCACTTGCGGCCATAGAGGGCTTCAAATGGAGCAACCTTTATGCTAGTGTGATAATTGTTGTTGTAAGAAAATTCGACAAGGGGTAAATAAGTGTCCCATTTCTTTCCAAAGTCTATCATGCAAGCTCGCAACATATCTTCTAGAGTTTGAATCGTTCTCTCACTTTGTCCGTCATTTTGAGGATGGTAGGTTGTGCTCATGTCCAGCCTAGTTCCCAAAGATTTTTGTAAAGACTGCCAGGGTGTTACAATTCTCCCCCACTAGAACCAGACTTCGCCTCCGAAGTCTCATTCCTCGAACAACTCTGGATGATGCCCTCGCATCTCCGACTCTGACTCCCAAGTCATCTCAGTTAGAAATAATATATATGGGCACACCATACAGTCTAATAATTTCTTTGAGGTAAGTTCCGGTTAGCTTCTCCATCTTGTCGATTTCTTTTATTGGCAAGAAGTGTGTGGATTTGGTCAATTTATCGATGATTACCCAAATAGTATCATAACCACCCATTGTCTTGGGTAACTTAGTTATGAAATCCATTGTAATCCTCTCCCACTTCCATTTAGGGATTTCAGGTTGTTGCAAAAGGCTCATCCTTGCCACATTTACAGCATGCAAATGCTCGACAAACCCCGTTATGAAACTTCCCAAACTTACTACAGCTGTAACTGTGAGTACTTTTAAACTCTATTAAATGTGTGGACAAGGTTTTCAAACACAAAACTTGAATTAAACTTTAATATCAATGATTACTAGGAATTAAGATGCAGTCAATTCTTGTCAAACCAGTCAAGACTTGAAGTAAATAACTTTAAGAAAGTATTCAAGAAAATTAAATAACGCAAAGTATGAACAAAGTAAAGTAATTAATAACAAGAACTTATGAGAGATGATTGTGAGAAATATAAGAGTGAAGTGATGGATTCTATTGATGCACAAAAGAGGTTTGTAAGGTTACAATGTTGACACTTATTTTATAGGCAAAAGAGTCCATATAAGACAAATACATAGGATAAAGAGAACTTGCATTATTAAACAAAATCCCAATAAAGTGGATTTTCTCTAAATCTATGTAATACTAAAAATGGAATACAACCAAAAGAACTTTCTTCATGTCAGGGAAAGTTGACTAAGTTTCAAATCCAATACATCTCGTAGTCTTGGTCTCTAAATCTTCACTTTACGTTTGGAATAATATTCCATCTCGGAATAAGGAATGATCTCGGAGTCTTCATATCTCGGATAACCAACTGTCTCAGAATCATCCTCTTCATCTAGGTTGAGAAGTGATATCGGAATCACTTCTCCATCTTGGAGTATTCACTCCTAAATGAATCATCTCAGAAGAAAACCTTATCTCAGAATCGCTATGCCATCTCAGAATGTCTTCACATCTTGGATTGTCTAAGGTACACTTTCATGTACTAACAATCTCCCTGTAAGTGTCCTTAGCAATCATACTTCGATTCTTCTAGTTCAAGGAGATTCCTTTTCCTTTATCTTTGGAAAGAGGATTCGGAGGGATGGTAGATAAGATGATAGGTTGACTGATTGGAGTGATGAATAGTTCCAAGGGGGGAGAGATCAACGGTTCCTCTGGTAGGTCATCCGGTTTTGTAGTCGGAGGACCATTGTCAACAAGTGTAATTTTTGGAGCAGGAATAGGAGAATGAGTTGGCTTAGAAGCTTGGAATTCATCGTTAGCTATTTTCAATTGACGTTCAACCATTTCTCTGCTTCATTTGAACGAATCAACAAGATTTGATGGACAACATATAGAGGACCAGTTTTTTGTTTTACCTTCTAAGAGGAGTTGTTTATTGATTCCTGGAAGTCCAAGAATCGCATTCACTACCTGATTGTTTCCATAACTTTCTTCTTCACTTTCATCTTCAATTTCAACAAAACTGTCTTCTGTTGCAACCTCTTTATCAAATTCGATTCCATCATCATCAGATGTTTCTGATGGGTTTTGGTCATAAGAACATCCTATGTGCTCATACAAACCCTAATGCTTGGATCTAGGTTTCTCTATTGTACATGCAAGTTATCCAAGACTCAATGTGCAACCAATTCGCAAGATACAACTCACACATCTCGGTTTCAAGAATATAAGATGTTATCGTCTCACTAATCACTAGTGATACAATTCATGGAGTGATCCAAGTGAGCGTGGGTTTAATCCAATGCTCAAATCATATTCATAAGCACTCATGAACGTTGCAGCAAACATTTACTTATGTCTAATGCTCTTTAGATAATCCACACACCAATTCACGACAGTCTTCATTCATATCTACTTCCAACATATGAACGATTGTGGCCCGTTCGAATAATTTTACTGTTCTTAACCAATTAAATTATTCAGGAAGTCAAAACATGCAAAGTGAAACATAAGAATAATACTAATCCCATATGGCCTCAAACCTTTGAGTATAAATAAAACACCTTTTATTTATCACCGTATCGATTACTCATTATTTGTCGTTTCGGGTAATCAACTTCTTACATGAATTATTACACTTGTCCCATGCTCCTAGCATGCACACAATGTTTACCTATGGTTCTTACTTTGTGAAATAGATCAAATTGAACACATTTCCAATCATTCTCATTTCACAACTCCAAATCCTTTTTCATAAGTGAAAGAATATCAAATTCTTGCTACTTATAGAATATGCTAGATTCTAACATTCTATGCAATGATTCTTTCGTAATGTCACTTCACCAAAGTCACAAAGACTATTGCCAATGATATTACAAAATCTTCTATCGGAGATTGTTACAAGACAATTCCTTAGATATGATGTCTCTCACTCAAAGTACATTCCTTTGAACATCCTTTTGCATAAAAGTTTCTAATCTAGACATAGATTTTCAATATTCAATTCCCAATATGGACACGCTTCCATATTTTTCATATGACAACTCATTCTGAATAGAATCTTATCTATTCATAATAATGTCGAGATGGTCCATCCAATATGGAAACATTTCCATATTTTCCAATACTATACTTCCAACTACTCACAAGCGATCAATCCTCAGCGAACTTTGGATTGTCCTTTGATAGTTGTTTAATTATTTTGGTCAAAAAACGATTCTAGTCCTTTTTCCCTCTAAATGCGCTAAACATTTGGAAAATTTAAGAATGGTCAAATATTATAGCATTTGCAATCGATCCTGTACCCGAAGCATATGGGACACGATGCAAAATGTCTTACATAAAGATTTGATACTTTATCAATCTTTTGCCATAATGTTTTATTTGCTATGTTCTCAAAATTCGATTTGTGAAGAGGAATGCTGTAATCATAATCGAAATTTTAAGAACACACTATGTACTTTTGAATAAATGTATTAACATTTCTCCACCTAAGCCTTTAGATTTGAAATAAAGCATAATATTCTCTCCCTTAATTATACCAAAACAACTTTACAACCCTTACCACTTTGCATGGTATAACTCTTGTTTTCTATAATTAATATTGCCAACTTGCAATACGTGCCTTGATAATCATACAATCATAACATTTATGCTCTCACTATCATGATGATTATTATAAAACATAACACTTATGCTCCCACTAGCTTCGACATGTATTCATAAACATCTTAACTTTCAGAAAATAAATACCTATTGAATTTCCTAAGTCCATGTTTCTAATACTTAATGATTTGATAATCTTTTATCAAAGCTTCTTGAACTTATACACCTTTGCCTTAGATAGTTCATATGTGTGTCTAGACAATTAAGACTAATTGCCAAACCTCACAACTCTAATCATGGAAAGGGATACCGTAACCATAATCGAATTTGAGAATGCAATTTTACAATCACTATCCTTTTAAAATCTTTCTTAGTGAAAGCATTTCCTCACAATCATTTTCATGAAGGAGGAAATCTTATGACACTTAGATTTAAACAGTGTATGTGTTCCTATCCATGTGAATTTGTTAAAACCAAAGTTTACGACAAATCCAAACTCATATGGACCGAACTTTCTTAATCTTTATTTCTTGCCTTATGGTAGCACAGCTGCCCACCATGTCTTCCAACTAGTTAAGCAGCTCACCATTTCCTATCAATGTACCTTTCATTGATTAAGGTGCCTTGCCTTTTATGCGTTGAAAATGAGAACTCATAGGACTCACATGCATAATTAACTCAATTGGAACAACACAGAAACAAAATAATGTCAACACGTTAGGTTGTAAACCTCAACTCGTGTGCTAGTGATGATCGATAAGGTTTATTTGATTTGTTCTTGAAACTTTTCAAGACCATTAAGACTCCCACTGACTCGTTGACATATAAGATTCTCTTGTCAATAAACATTTCTTGACAAACAAATATTCAAGAGTTAGTGTAGTTTTTATCAAAACACTTCATAAATTGGTCCTAGTTGGTCTTCATCTTATCCAAGACATCACAACTTTCCACATTTAATGAATGTCATAAACCTTCTTAATACTTGTTACTTATTGCCACAATCTTAACTTTAAGACTTGTTATTGGAACGTAGTATGATTGACTTTTTGATTTAACCATTTCTTCAATTCTTGATTCCTCTTCTTAGACATTCAATTGTACTAAGACTTACTTAGATGATCATTTGAGATATGGTTCTTAATAATTAAGACCTATCATAAAACATAAAAGGTACTCTCCCTTATTCTTAGAATGGAGAACCCTTTATCTTTCTGCCTACTTGATTCTTCTTATTCGTTTTGCTATTGATTTAAACCTTTTTAATCAATTCCGAATTACACTTAATCTTATAAGTATAATCATATTTACTAAACCTTTAGTAAATCATGATGAATATATTTGTTACTCTTATGGTGAACTTGATTGACATACAACTTTGTGTGCTCGATCTCCTAGTCCTTCACTTGACACTTTGTCAACGAATTAGTCTAATTTCCAAATATGAAATTTCTCATTCATCATGCAACCAGGTTGCATGATTCGAAATTTCTGTCCAATTGAAACTTGGGTGATGAGAAACTCTCCCTATTTGGTAAATTCTCGACCTTACCATAAATAAGAATCATATCCATTTGTTGTAGAAATATTCAAACATCAATTTTCATAACGATTTCATTGCAACGAAGTAAACAAATAAATAAATAAGTCAAACCAAAATTTATTATAAAAGCAGCGGAATACATTTGTCCTTACAACGCAAAATCCATTGAAAAAAAATTTCTAACAACTCTATCATAACTATCTGATCTCAAAATCTAATCTTCAAGTCCATGCGATCAAGATCCATTTCTTGCGATTAGATTCATCTTGCTCTTTCACCAAACTTCCTTTTTTTCACCGATCCTACAAAAACATTCAAATGCAATCTTATCACATCATGTATTTTGAATCAATGAATAGGAACTTAACGAAGTTAGATAGTGGATTTTACCTGAAGCGCAGTCATACTCTTTGACTCTCCCATCTTTGGAATTTTTCAGGCTCTTGGGGCAGACTTCTATCCAACGCCCTTTCTCTTGGCAGCAAACGCAGGTCACTTCTCTTAGAACGTCCTCGGAAGCATGGCCGGTTGACTTTCCCAAGAAATATGCTCCATTGCTTCGCCAAATCATTTCTGATTCAGCAGCAATGAGCATGTAAGTTAGGTCAATGAGGTTGTCGTCTTGATCCATCATATAATACTTTCTTTTGAACTCATTATATGATTCAAGAAGTGACTGCAAAACCCAATTTACAGCCAACTCATTCGGGAATGACACACCTAACATTATCAACCTATCAATGTGTGATTTCATTCCTAGAACGTGGGCACACACGGGTTTACCATCTTCATGTTTCATTTCCAATAGGGCTTTAGTGATGTTGAACCTTTCAATTCTTCGAACTTGTGGGTTAGGGAGAACAATTGGAGGAGGTGGAGGAAGTGAAGCATGATATCTTGTTCCTCGATCGAATCGTGGAATACCATCTTCATGTGGAATGCTTGTTCCACAGGATTTGGGAAGACCATAGTTGTCAAACTTTGACAAAACGGGAGAAAACGAATTCAAGTTAGTTGATCGATTGAGTCCTTAGTAAATCACCCAAATGAGATACTAAGGCTAGGACCCAACACAATACTCTACAACCTAGAAAAGGGATGCCGTAATCTAGTTGCAGAATATTTGAAGGTAAGTGAATGACGATTCACTAATTTCCACCATGAAAAACAAAAAGAAATTTAAGTTTTAAATCTATGAAAACTCCTAGATCCTTTGAGATTCATTGAACATTTCAATGGCATGTTTAAATCTCGATATGCCCCTCTTGTTTGTGACTGGGATGCCGAGGATCGGAAAGCGGGTGTGAATAACCATGCAAACTTACATGGTGCCCTCACATGTTACAGTCACCTATTCGATGTGCCGGTAAACCACACACGCTCCACCGAACTATGACAAACATTGAGTCACCCTTTGCTACCTTTGCTTAGAACCATTAGTGTGCCGGTAAACCACACACGCTCCACTAACGTCTTCGCAAGGGCACAAAGTGTAATTTCATGGAATTGCATCAATTCACTTTGCCTAAGTAACTAAGATTGGGAATTTGTAAAAACATTTAGTTACTTTTGTATTTCATTATACTTATAATGGAAGGTTTCGTCCTATCCTACCCGTTCGGCTAACGACCCTCCACTACTCAAGAGTGTGGTGGGTAAAAGTGGATACCCATTCAATCGCCATATTATAGGCAATTTCCTTAAACACCCCTTATAGACCAGCTTCGTGAATGAGGCCTACTAACGGTAAGACTGACTTTTACTCATATATATATATATATATATATATATATATATATATATATATATATATATAATGTTAGACTTTTAATGTTATATATAGTATAGGGTGTATTTTACACTTTTAAAATACTAGGTGGTCAAATTTAACAATTATACTTTTAATTCAATTAAATT